CTCCTGCAGTTCCAGAACAAGCAGCTAGGGGACCCAAACTCATGTCACTTCTTCCCTATCCCAAGAGCTATCTGCCAATTAAAATTCGTGACCCTTTTAAAACCGAAAGTTCTGCTGCAGTACCTAGGAAAGCCGCCAGGGGGCCCAAAATCTAATCATTTCTAGGTCTCATTAAAGACCTACCCACCTACTAAGTTTCGTTCCAATCCATCCACTGCTTCTTGAGTTATCTTGCTAAACCACACACACACACACACACACACACACACACACACACACAGAGAGACAAACGCTACTGAAAACATAACCTTCTTGGCGAAGGTAATGAGTATTTTCACTCAAAAACTCTGATATGTATTTTCACTCAAAAAACTCTGATATGATAAAGATATATGGAAATTAAAGCTGTATGTCACCAAAAATCTTTATAAAGATATCATTAACGTTATAACAATTTCAACAATAATTCGGAGATTTCATACATTTATAAAATAATCAATATGTACAGTTTATGTTTTTTTTTGGGGGGGGGGGTGCATTCCAAAACGTGGTCAATTCCAAAGCACGATTTGGAATAACGGGAAGTGGAATGCCTGTTGCATTCCAGAAGGTGATCCATTCCAAAACATGATTTTTCGTAATCATGTGTCAGGGGGTGGAGCCTCGTACTTCTGAGGGTTTCGCCAAATAATACGGGTCTGGACATGTTTTGTAACGCTTAGCGTTCCATTATGTTTAGCATTCCACCCCAGTTTCAAATTGGTAGCTTTTGGATATTAGCATTGCCCGTACTGTCTGCCTCTGTGTATTTTGACCATCTATTATATAAAACCTTCTCAGTGTAAGTTACGGCACGCCCGTCAATTAAACTTGGACACCCGCACACAGGACCGCCATTGCCCGGCCGAAGCATGGTAGAGCTCACATGCAACTGTGGCGACCACCTCTGTCACAATCTGAAAGTTCGTGGCAACTCCGATCCACACAAACTGTTGTTGTCGAAGCTCTTTCCAAAGCCCACATGTCTGGATGACGTTTTGAAATGTTCCATTTAGTGTCTTTGTCTCAAACATGTTTCGGAATATTCCGTGCCTTCAGTATGAATAATCAATCACCACTCCTGTCAATTTTTCGTGATTGACAGCGTGGTCGGTCTTGTTTTGGAACATTCCATATCGTAGTCCAGCTGCGCCATGATTTGGAATACACCGTGTGGAATGCCTGTTGCTTTCAAAAACGTGGTCCATTCCAAAATATGATTTGGAATAACATGTTTTAGAATAAAAGAGAGGGGTTGTCTCATTGCTTATGGACATTAGGACATAATTACCATGATCTAGTTGAATTTATGGACTCACAATACAAAATTTCTATCTTTTGGCAATATTTCAAGTCAACATGTCCTCATTAACTATGACCTCTATATTAACATGATATATGTATAGTAATGTTAACCTTTAAGTAACTTACACATGTCACAAGGTATAAAATTCCCATCGATCACCATTAAGAAATCACAGAATTTTCAAATTTATTATGTAAATTATGTCATTATTTGCGTGATTGGTATCTGTTGACGTTTCATCTGCCGTTCTTTACATACATTACATGTATGAAAGTACAATTAAGTAAACCATTGATTATGCAAATTAAGTCTTCATTTCCATAATTTGCTTTTGATTATGTACATCTCTCTATAAGCTACCGACATACCAAAAATGATGAAAATGCGTTGTTCCTTTCTGGACCCCTGCGGTACAAACAAGCTGGTAGGGGGACAAAAACCCACACCACTTACTCCTGACTGGAAATTGAAAGCTATCTGTCACGCTATCAAAAAGACCATAGCATGTTCAGGAAAAACGATACAAAAACCGAAACTTCTGCTGCAGTACCAAGGTCAGCCACCAGGAGGACCATATTTGACCTTGGTCTTCCTATCAGCTACCAACATACCTAATATCATTACAATACATAAATGCGTTCTGAAGTTATGCTGACTACAAATGTGCGGTAACACATTCTTCTTGTAACACATATTACACACATGCAGACATGCCAAAAAATACCTTCATTTTATTTAGATAAAGAATGCTAATGAAATGTGGAGTTTTGTAGTACAACGACGTATCACGAAGTTACAAGAGTGTATAAAGAATATAGATTAATATAGCCGTGTCACCGTTGTAACACGATACTTTGGCGAACGTACCCTAGGCCTCTACCTGTAGCTACCGACCACAACCGAATAGGAACAGTGACACAATGATATACAATGCACAGCATTTTCAAAAATTTTATTCAAAATTCTGTTTAAAGGTAGCAAACATGCACATTGGTCCATTTATCATAGATACTGATCGTAATTAAAGAGATTTTAACATTGGTATTAGACAAATTATACATATGCTATTTTAACAATCAAAACTGTCTTTCTTAGTAATGCGAGTTGTACATTGTAGTTCAGACTTCATTAATATTTTCCAACTGGTGTAAAAAGTTAACCCTTTAACTATTACATAACAAAGTGTGTTCATGCATTCTATAGAAATCGTTAGATTTGTTTTAGCAAACTAGGCAGTAAAGGATTTTACCCAGTGTCAAATATGTAAGTCATTAGTGCAAACTCGATGGAGTTACACAAGTCCCTTGCCTGAAGTGTTTCACGACGAAAACGTTTAAATTTATCTTAATTCAAGTGCAGACATTCTAATGTCTCTGGGACACTGTTTTTAAATATTTATCCAAAAATACAATGAGTTTAGCTGGAATCAAAAGTCCGTACTTCGCCAGCTAAAATTGGTTTGATTTGAAAATATTACACGTTTCAATGGTCAATGTCCAGTCATGTTAAGACCAGACAACCCGCAACCCGTTAAGAAAAATGGTCTACGACAATAAAGGGTTAATGCCCCTCCCCGCTCACTTGATTGTTTATTCGGTGGTTATCGCACCTGACCAGGGATTATAACATATACACCGAGGATACGGCAGGGCATTAACGTTATTACCATATCGCCTATCCGACTGACGCAGTTATTTGATACTAATTCCTTTACAAAATTCCTCAATTGCCAAAAAAAACCTCTCAAATTCTATATCATGTGAAATAAGATGGCATGGACCGAAAACAGATCATCTTGGCAATTACCTGCATTGACCATATGGCAGTGCCACTTTTTTGGGGGGTGTCAAAAATTATGTTTGGTCTTTTTCTGTTTGAATTTCATTTATATCTTTTTAATTATGTAGTATTCTTCGAAAAATCATTCAAAATAAACTACAATACACTTTTAATAGATAAATACTACAAGTCTTAACACAAGTGTTAATATCCTGTCCCCTGTATAATGGTACGGTCCAAATAGTGGTCGGTTATTCTAATAACCGACCACTTTCTAGGTTACGGCATGATAACTAGTGGCAAATGGAGCCTTCTGATCGGTGGATGCCTTCTGGCTATATGATAATCTTCATTGACTAACGGATGCAATTCTGCTCTTGATTAACAATACTGATATAATATATATCGCATAGGAAAAACAGCATACCATGATATAATAGTCACTCACATGCAATATATGTATATATAGTACGGTATATAAAACATTATGAAGATGTCTTTCCGCTATCTACACTAAAGCCTCACTGATTTGATTTTATGGATGACCTCCACGCGCGCAGCGGTTTTACCTATTTAAACAGTAGACGTTTAACTAGCTACTAGTTTCCAGGAACTTGTTATACTACGAAGTTGTGTATGATTTTAAATTTAGTCTATGACTATAATCTTGAAATGCAAAAATCCGTTTCTCATTCGATCTGGTGTTCTCAGTAAAACACTTCAGTTAGTATAATGGTGTGGATAATTCTTACGGGAGGTGTGGACATTGATTTACATAATTTTAGGAGTTTTTAGTACGTACCTCCAGAAAGAGCAAATGCAGACGTTAGTCTGTTACATAGTCTTCTGATAGAGAACAACCAAGGGAGAAACTCGGTGTAGATCTTAGCAGGGTTCACCACCTTTCTAAACAAAACTCCTAAAAGAACAATGCATAGTTTGTCACACTATCCTCTGAAATAAGACAATCTGCCCCCTGATACGGAAAACGTAGAACTTGCTAATAGATTGTTACATAGTCTTCTGATGTGCAACAATATGCCTGCTTAAGGAAACTCGGTGTAGAAGCTAGCTGGTTACACGTTTGTTTAGAAACTAAACAGCCCAAAGGAATGAGAAAAAGGTTTGTTTCATTATTCTCTAAAACAAAACAATATTATCCTCACAGGGTGGAATGGTTCCTCCGATTGAAAACTTTGAATTTAAAAATCGAGGTACTTATTTCTGGTACGCGTTTATTTCGTCCAAGCGCATCAAATTAAAGTGTCCGGAGAAAATCATTCATAAAATCAAGTCAGTTCGGTCAAAATATATAATGATACGTAAATTGACATAAAGGCTCTGTCTAAAGAAACCAATCAAATGATGTGGAATATAAAATATCCATGAACAGATTTGCACAAAATCATGCCTGGTTTAAATACACAAGACTTTCCACACAAAAACAATTAAAATTCTTTGACGGTAGTCTATATCTATGACGCCACATTAGGAACTAAATTACCTATATAGGATCAATATCCTGAAAAAACAATACAGTGTGTTCAAAGACAAATCAAACTATTACTGGATGGTTTGCAAACTTTGAGTGTTATCCGTCACTCCTTTAGCGTAACTATATGAACTGAGAGAACAAGTCGACATGTAAAGAAACTGAAAAATAACATGACAAAGACTCATATCACTGCTATGTATATGATATAAAGTAGTTCCTATCGTAAGACAAGTTATGTCTGTCAATTTTCAAGTAGTACAGTTTTATTTGTCTTTAAACATTGTTTACCTCGATGTGTAACCTTCATTAACGGTACAGTGTGTTGTTATGTTTTGGTTTGGTTACACAGCAACTGCCTTTGAACACGTTTATGCCAGGCCGTTACTTGCTCAAATACATGGTGAAAGGAACGATTGCCACAATGCTGATGATGTAGATGACAAGGCAGAGCCTATCCAGGACCTTACCCAGCAGGGTGAAGTCGGACACCTCCTGCTCGTTCTTCATGGCCTCAGTCAGCTTCTCGGTTTGGTTATTAACTGCTTTCGTCAACTCCTTCACACAAGATATCAGCTCTGAAAAGCCAGGCGAACCGGCGGTCTCCGGCCCTGTAGGAAGCGTTGATGTCTGCCCGGTTCTCTCTGTGTCAATACCGGGTCTTCCCTCGTCGACCGCCGCCATGTCATCGGTTTGAAATGCGTAGTTGGTCAGCTCTATGCCGGCCTCTCCATCGGCAGCACGATTCTCCTCTGTTAGATCACCCAACAGCAGAATCCTTGATAAAAAGCAATGATAATCGGCATGAATAAAATGACGTCAATTAGCATTGAACTGTTAGTACGGAAATTCATCTGAGTTGGTAAATTGCAACATGATAAATTATCTGTTTGATGAACTGTTCAACCAAAGAACTTAACGCACCAAAATTTTCCGCCAAATCTCAGCTTTTGATGAGTTACACTCTTTTGAGATAAATACCTTTTTTTCTCATTTAGAATTTTACTGCTGTTCATATCAATAAATTTATTGTGATGAATTATTAGCAATGTACCTGGTTTAATTTAAGATAAGCTTATCTTAGATAAGATATACTGAGCCACAACTTACCAACAGAGAAATTTGACCCAATGCTGGTAATGAACTCATTGTATAAAGCAATAAAATTATTAAGAACGATTGTAGAACAATACATTTATCAATGATGCAGGATACCTAACGTATTAGAGAATTTAAATTTTAGAGTTCAAACAGAAATATATGAAACCAAACTGTTGCAACGAAAAGTTGGTACTTTGAAACGTAGCGAAGAAAAATAATCTTCGTCGCCGGAGACAGGCTGCCCTCCCGGTCGTAAATGACGATGATGGCCAGAGTGAAGAACAGGAATAATCCCATCAGTCCCATCCAAAGGATGATCAACGTAGCTGTAACATTAGAAATTGTAAACAATTATCAAATTGCTGAATGAGTTATATATCAAAAGAACGCCATAATTATGAACAGATGTTTTTTTAAAACCAATATCTAAATTTCTCACCGAAAAGTGGCAGTGCACCCTTGACAGGAAGTACATCTGTCACAAAAACGAGAGACACGACCATGGATAGTAGAATGGTCACTCCAAACGCGATTCGGTCGCCCCTGTCTAAGGGCATGATGAATGTGATGTTCATCAGTACCACCAGGATGACGCAGGGTCCTACAGTAGTGGCGATGTGGAACAGCGGGATCCTCGACAGATGAACAGCAAGGCACGCTTCCTCGTTTCCTTTCGCAAAGATTTTATCCTTTCGGTACCATTCACCCTCCGTTGTTTCAGTAGAGTAAGAATTGCACGGACCGTTTCCCATGTCGGCTGCAAGACTTCCCCCTCGGCATTCTATGTTCAACATAGATTATTAAAAAAAATTATAACTTAATCAATTGCCAACAGAACAACATGAGCCAGATGTAAATCATTTTGAATCGCTGTTAAAGACGGCGCAATTTCAACACATGGTTACTGCGGTGGCAAAATTGCTCTTAAATGGATCATTTTTTTTTATTTATTCTTTATTCAAACAGTGGTCAGCATAGCAGCAGTACGTAAGAAATGTGCTCAAAGATTACGTTTAGCTACAACGAACGATCTCCTTGTTTTTTTAAATGTCTTGCTTTTTTGTTTACCAATGCAAAACTTGTACTTATTGTATCTTCCTTTTACAAAATATTGCCACAGTGCTCAAATTTGGCCCAACCGGATTTAAAACCCAAGTAATGTTTGAGGTAGTTAGGTGTTTGATTTGCAGTTTTCCGCGTCAACCCAAGAGTTAACTTGGGTTTCCAGTTATCACTTGGGTACATCCGAACAGAAATCACCTCATCAAAATATGTTATAGATGCTTTTGAGGCCCGCCCCCTGTAACTCAACAGCCACTTATCGTAGAGCCGCTATATTTTAGAGAATAATGTTAATTTAACAACCGACCGCCGTGTGAATACAGGTTTTAAAGAGCGGATTCGACCTGATATGGACGTAAGCTACAAATTATTGCGAAAAATAGCCTTACGGATAGTTTGCGCGATTGCTGTGGCGGCAGAAAAACAGATGTTGCATTCCATGGTGTCTGCAGGAAAGAAGAAGGGGTCTGCATCGCACACGGTTGTAGTCAGAGTTTCTACCCTCCATTCTATCAGACCATTGCTGCTCACTCGGACCGGTACGTCGTTTTCTAGGCCTTTGTAGACCGGATCGGCACTGCAAAGTAAACAGCAACTTAAGACATTTGTCTTATTCTGCTACACAATGGATGAGAGTGCATGTTGTCTAGCATTGAGAATCTTGGTTCATATTAGGAAATGTTGTTTAATAATCTTTCCGATGAAGGAAATCCGATTGATACATTAATTACTTTGAAGTTGGTTAATAAGTGAAGAAGGTACAACGTACTTTCTTTTTAGAGTCAATGTTGGTGTCCAAATTATGTTGCCGGGAACGCTGAGCGTGGTGACGTTATCGTAGTATTTCGGATCCCAACTCAGTCGGCTGTCCTGCCATGCCTGACCAAAAAAAAAGACTAATAAAAAAAACATTGCGCAAAAATGACAAATGATATGGAAAAGGCTATGACGTTACGGCAGTTTTACAGGTTTACTTAAGATATCAATAGTAATGCCAACTTACAAAACGGATGACCACAGACGCAACAAGTTGCTCCTTCTTTTCATCCTGAAAATAAAAGTTACAATGCTACTCTCAACGTAATTTTATAGTGGAACATAAATAATAATCATAAATCATAGCTAGGGTACGTAATCTGTTACAGATAAAAAGTACTTACCAAGTCGACAAGCTGTTCCACAGATCCAATGAAGTAGATGATAACATTCTCAGGTGACAGACCTGCACTGGGAATCTTCAGTAGATCATTGTGCAGCCTTTGCCTATGATTCACTGCAGGAAAATACATTTTTGTGCGTAAAAGTTATGATCAAGATAATCAATAAGCCTAAACTGGTAAATTCTAGGATAACTAATAAGGCTAATTAGTAACGTTTAGATTACTCATGACATTTTGTTTGGATTTAGTTATTTTTATTATGTGATAATAACTGTTTTCTTATAATAATGTACCGGTTCTCATTGTATTATGTGAGATTTTAGCGTTCATTTCGAAAGAAACCGGCAAGTCTAGGTAATCTTTTTGCTCTTTGTGTTTACTTGTCTCGAAAATATCAACATCGCTCAGGAATATTACCCACAGTAAAACAGTTAGAAGCTGTGTATGATGCTCATGTTGCAAATATTGATGTTTTAAGAATCACCTGAACAACTGGGCTTTTCATATTGCCAATTTCCTCCTTTAATACACCTCACTTCACTAGTGTAACCGGACTTCAGTGTGTATCCTTCGTTGCACGTGTACGTGACCTTTTCTCCTACGTAGTAGAACCTCTTGCTGGGGCTTTTCTTGCCGTAGTTTGGAGGACCTCTGTCCCAACAGCCTTCAGCATCTGGTGTAAAGTTAGATATAACACGCAGTGGGAAAAAATAGTATACTGACTTAGCTATCACAAAAATTAAACCAAGCAACTGTCGAATGGATTGAGAAAGCAAGAAATAACTATTTACTTTCAGGACAACTTACTACACGGTATAACGTCACATTCCTCCTGGCTACCATCTTCAGTCAAACAAAAAGGCCGATCTAGACTCGCAGGGTTGCGACAGTAGTTGTTATCCAGGTTTGCCCAGGGGAATTCTGTCTTGTAGTAATCAGCTTGGGCAACTGACCAATCCACACAATCTGCCCCGGATGTAGTTTTACTCCATGTGCCGCGGTAGTTTATGCCGTTGCCATGGTAACAGACTGAGAAAGACAAACGAAGACAAAAATGCATTTGTCAAATTATAGAGTAGCCTATTTCGTCAGTCTTACAAGACCATGAAAGTACTTAATCTACTACACCATGTACTTATTTTTGGCGACGCCTTTGGGGCGGAGGCATTTGTGTAAGTACTACGATCGCTTTGAAAGAATTTAAAAAATTGCACGAATGCATTCCCCAGGGAATTGGTTTGGAGGAAACCTTCGGCCATGTGGTTTTTGGATCAAGCAGGTAACTTACACGGGGTGCCCACGTGCCACCCATCCAGATGCTTGGCATGATTAATTACTGGTCATCAGTCTTCTCCCCACACCATGGACAGAGAGCACAGCTGTCTTTGGCCAAAGACCATATTCAAACAGGTCACAGAGAGAGAAGAAATTATCCGTCCTTTTGGAACCCACAAAGGTAAAAAAAGTCAAAGGAGTAACAACTTCAGACCAGACATAAAATCCAGTCTCTTGTGAAGTGGAGGATGGTTTTAAGTTTGGTTCTAGCGGGAACTCGACCAAAGTAAGTAAGTATGTCATCATAAAATCTATATTGCTGGGGAAGAACGGCTAATTCCTCCTATACGTGTATTTGGTATATTGCCCCACACCTCCTCCACCCAGCCTGTAAATTTCACTACGTGCATGTCTTTATAACATAGGGAAATATGTTTTTCTGATAATTGTAATGTAGATTGCTAGCTCCACCACATGAAATAATATATATCATTCAGTCGTCGCCTTGGCAATGATTTTTATTGCCTCAGCCTTGTTGGTTTTGCGCTTGAAGCGTCTCAGTTCTGATGCGATTGCTTATATGTCAATTTACGTTATGATAATCTTCTGATCATAAAATTAATATACAGATCAAAGACAAGTTAAAATCCGAGTTACTTATGAACAAGACTAGAAGACCATTTCTATCGAAAAGAACATTTTCCCTTTTTTACCTTCGCTTCCCTTCTTGGCTAATTTCGGATTCCAACAATTGTGATGAGATGAAGGAAACAAGCTGCATCGTGGCAGCAGGTCCTTTATCCAGCCATCAGCCATGTTGAGAACTTCTTCACACCATGAGCGGCATGGTACCAGCTGGGTTCCCCTAAGAAACATACGCAGATTCATTAGAAAGTATCCCCTTTAGAAGATTGTGTTTTTTTTTAACTAAACAACATGTTTCTTAATATGTTTCTTGACCCTATCTATGCAGGGGGGGGGGTTAAAAGTACCGGGCCCAACTTTAATGCACTAGGTTAACGTCTGAAAGGCTTGCGCTAGACCACTAGACTTGGTGACTGTTCCTAAAAAAATATGAAAAAAAAAACATTTTCGTATCAGTGACAAATAGATCAGGTATATCGCAGCTATTTTCCCTTAATTTACATTTCATCACTACTTCGATTTATTTTTACATAAGGCCACACCAATTTAATTTCTTGGTTAACGGATTCGCCGCTTCATTTTTTTCTGTTTTGCAAATAAAAATAAAAATCCAGAATCAACTGCAAAATGCTCATATTTTGCCCTGAACAGTTAAAAACAGTCCTTTTTATCCTTAGTTGTTACAGTTATTCCATCTTTCAATACAATGGTATCATTAAATGTTCAAAATTCATTGTTTAAATTTTGAACCAGCCTGGTATGTTGACTTCATGGCTCCTTTCGTAACATTTTGGGCCATAATAGATGCCTATGCCTGTTTTTATTTTTTTTTCGCCCGCCCGCCCCATTATTTTTCTGAAAAAATCCGTTAACCAAGAAATTAAATTGGTGTGGCCTAAAAGGTCAATTTAAACCTGTTTAGTCCATTTCCATTGTTTGTTTTAAGGTTTATCTTGAAAAAAAAGAGTATTTTCCAAAATTCAAGATAACCATCGGAGATGGCGGATTGGTTTAATATGCATGACGTATGAAGTTTGGTATGAAGAATAAAGGAGTTTTCTTTTTACTCAACGAGAGTTTCTCATCTAACTGACGTTTCGGTGTCTCAGAGCTTCTGATTGGATTTCTGCTTCTTGCCGCTATATGTAGCCCTGTAGACCCGGTATTACACCTGCAAGATCTTAGCTTTAATTTGGTACGGGTGTGCTTTATATATATATATACTCTTTGTAACTTTCGATATACATCCCTTTAAAATTGTATGATTTTGGACTACTTTAGGCCCAAAATATACTGCACAGTGGGGTGTGACTAACTAGAAAGGAGTGAAGAGCAACAAATAATCGGCTTGCAGCTTTTTTAAGCATGGTAAGATGCGTTGATCTAGCTGATTGGTTAATGAGTTATTTAGGTCACTGATGAATCTGAAATGAAATGCATTGTTTTCTTTGTGCTTCTCACGGTTGTGAGAATTAGACACAGAGTAGCATGGGTCCTACTAAAAGTGAGAAATTGTACTTATGGCGGGGCTTTTTTTAAAAGCACTGTTTGCGGATATCGAGAACACGTTTAGTAAAAAGCATTATATTAAGGTTTAAGTACTTTATCAATCAATAATCCGCGGGCAACAGGTCCCACCAGGTTGATCTATCATCGACACAGACCCTCCAGTCGTCTGTACTTTATGGGGTGTCCGAAAACACCTTATGTAGAAAATCATAGAAATTTCGATCTTACCAAAAAGCACTGTGGGGACTACATAAAACATTTCCTTTCGAAGAGCACCACATTATGAAAAGGTGAAAACGAAACAGTTCATTTTGGAACGAGGAAGAATATGGACTGAAATATAATCAAATTACTCCAGAGCAAATGTCTTCCTTTCTAGTTGAATCTTATCATTCGATTCAGGTGACCGTATTCGTTACAATTTTCGAATTATTGAGTGACATCACGTGTCTTTGATAACATGCCATGTTCCAAAATATTAACTGAAATTGTAACTCAAAATCACCGTGATGGCGTTTTTTTTCCACTTACATGCATTCGTATGAGGTCATGTTGGCTGCATTCTGAATTGAATAGCAGATAGTCTTGTTCTCTTCCGAGACATTGCATTGTGGGAAAATGACGGTCGATATGAATGTCTTAATCTCGGGATGGTATTTTCCGGGGAAGATATACGAACTGTTGAGCAGCTCCACGACAGAGGAATTCTGTATCTCCTCAAAGGTCGTCTGGCCTAGCTGATTTGGCAGCATTGAAAGTCGGCTGTTGACGTCAAAATACCCAGGGATTGCCAGGCACACTGATGGTTAAAAACATTAATGAATAAATAAAATGCCTTTATTAAACGTTTAAGATCTTACAAGCTTAGTACATGTTATGAAATAACAGGGAAAAGAATACAGAAATAACACTTAAACTATATATACTAATGTGGTCTACGATATACATGTTCAACTTCTCACTTCTTGATGCAGTTGTAGATGTACAAGCATATGCAGCTAATGCTACATGGTTTGTAAAGTTTCATAAGGAATGCGAATTTTCCAAAGTAATAGATAAGAGCACGGTTTTAGGCTGAATACGTGGATATGGAACTGCTTCACCCACTAACCGTGCTCTATCTAACTTAGAGCACTTCTAGGTCCCCGAAATGGATCAACTTCATCCACTAGTACTTGATTTTGCTTTATAAATTTTTGTTGTGTTTCACTTATTGTCTCCTATCAAGGAGTTGTTTGGCTGTGTCTCTTGCCTGATTGACGACCGCTAGGCTGCTTTGTGAATATAATCACTGGAAATTCAGGCTCCCGGTAGGCTGAGGGGACCTAGCAGTGCTCCAACAGAGCTGAGGGGACCTACCAGTGCTCAATCATTTTATTTCCAGTGCTTGCAATAATGGCAAGACGGCAGGCAGTCTGAATTAAATATAACTACAGCAATCGGTCAAACGGTCAAACCATTGAACACATCTGCACAATTATCATCTGGACACCCTTTTTGGTGGTTCTTTGATTATATTTTGCTATGGACCCAAACGTCAATAGCCATATCTGCAGTGGCCACTCATCCATCTGTGTTAAGTCATTTACCATAGACAGGTTTAAATCCTTTAATCCTGAATGCAGAGTTGTTGAATAATAGAGATAGTTCGTAAAAGACTAAGTTTCCTTCAACAAATCATAGTCTTGTTAATGTTCATTCATCTCCCATGGCCAAGTGATAACTACCCTACACTTCTACTTTTCATTAGAAATTACCACCTACCGTGTCGTTATTTTATTTAGTAGTTGGATGGCTACAATTTTTACAAGGAATACTGATAGACGATCAACTGCAAGTAAATATGACCACTACATGACCTGATGAAAGAGACTTACCACATCCCTCCTCATCACTCCCGTCCGTGCAGTCCGCGATCCCGTCACAACGCTTCCATGACAGGATACAGGCAAGTCCGTGTCCACAGCGGAAATGTCCGAAAGAGCAGCTGATTGCTTTACATGTGAACAGTTTTAAAAAATTGTCATTAAGGGTTTTAAATTGATTCTACTATCTGACAACGCGTACGCCACTCGGCAAAGGCATATACATGTGTGATCTGGCATATATGCAAGGTCATCTCACTACCAAAATGTTTTTCCTTATTTTTCTTATTTTCCTATGTTAAGAAATATTTTCTTGTAAGGGGGATATTCAAGAAAATTCAAGAAACATTCTTTAAAGTTTTGTATGTTGATTCTTACACGAATAATTTTATTCTTTTTTTTTCTTAAGAAAAATATTTCTAGTACCATACTCACCAACAATCTTAAGAATTTTAAATTTTTTTTGCTACAGGAACAGTTAGCTCTTAGTTCAAGAAATCTTTTCTTGTGTGCAGAATAGTTATCTTGCTTCAAGAACAGTAATCTCTTAGTTCAAGAAATCGTTTCTTGTGGACAGAATCGTATTCTTGCTACGGAAATTCTTTAATTTCTTGTTTAAAGAATAATTTTCTTGCTACAAGATACCCTTCTTTGTACAAGAAAAAACAAGAAAAATAATTTTTGGTAGTGCTATATGTAATATAAAAGTGTCTATTGTTGCTGAACAGGGTATTTAGTTACGACCTTCCACTGAATACACACAGGGGCCGAGCGATGCCCGCCATTGCACGACGGAAAAGTACGTATACGGGGCATGAATTTTTGGTACGGCCAGCATTGTAACAGGTACGGCTTGAAAGTCACTTGGTAGTGGTTTAAAGAAAATCATAGCGTTATGATATAATATAAATAAATAACTGTTCCCCAAATCAATAAGGAAATAAGAGGAATTTTTGAGTCATGAATCATGTGGACTCACTGAATTACGGTTAATATCTTGGAGTTGGAAAAAAAGTTTATTTTATGATAAAGATATGTTTTTTGGACGCCTATCAAACTCGTACCTGGGAATTTGTGCCTTGACTGCTAAAGATGCTGGCCGTACACGGAATTTCCGGCCGTAGCTGCTAAAATTTCAAGCTGTACCCAGAAATTCTAGTTTTGATGGAAAACAGTTTAAATTTGTATATTGTAAGCTTTGTGGTTCTATCGCGAGCCATTCGGACGCTATCCGACATGAAAGTTGGCGCGGGGACGAGTCCCCATGTCATTGAATTTGACCTTTTGTGTTGGTCGTTTTTGTTGTTAACAGGATAATTCGAAAATCTGCAAATGGATGTTCACGATTTTTTGGGAGCAAGTTACCGTTGATGATAGCAAGGTCAATTTTGAAAATGGGCGTCGTGGGAGGTCCGTACGTTGCTTTAGTGGGCTTTTGATGATTGTTGGTTAGTTTGTCAGTATTTTAAGTTGTGGAAAAGCAATGTTCTTGTTTTTTTTTTAATTGTGTGTAGGTCAAGGGGTTTAGATTAAGGCTTTAAAGTTTGGAGTCTCTAGTAGGTTGTGGGTTAGTACAGTGGGACATTTTGTGTGAACATTTTAAATGCAGGCCAAGGTTGGCTCCTTCTCGTTTTATGTAACGCCACTACAAATGTAGGTTAAAATAACAACTTACAGGCAGGGAGCTGTCAACAGTGGCTTTACCTGCCAACGCCGCAAGCTTAACCGCTGCTAATTGACACCTCGGTGTCCTCAGAGTGCCGCATATCTGGTTTTGGGGTATTTCCTGCAAAGTTGGCCTCGAAACATTTATGCATTTGTGTTATTTGTGCATATGTTACTGTGATGCAAACATGATTTGAACCACATTAAGATCACAAGTTTGGTATCTATCGGGCAAAAAGACTCTACATTTTTGGTAGTGTACTGTACGATCTAGTTTCCTTTGAAGTTTTGTCTTTTGATGGCACCAGGATATTCCCAAGTGTGTGAGTGGGTATGAAGCAGGTCTTGAAACCGTACTTGTTAGAGATTCTCCGAAGGGCCCCTTGGAATATGGTAATACTATTACTCCTTTCTTTGGTTTGTAGAAGAGGACTGATTCTTTGTGGTATTATCTGTAGATAAAGTTTTGGGTGTTACCCAATCGACGTTACCACGCTGTTTTTAATGCCCGAATAACGTGGTTCCTTTTTATTCGCTTTATCTTGAGATGGAATATTTTTCCAACACCGATCTCATGGCCTAAGGGATGATTCGAGGTGACATTTGAGTAGTGGACTTTGTGAGTTTTGCCTCTTGTATATGTTTATCTAAAGTGAACCATCTTCCTGTGTGACTGTTATTGTGTTCAGGAGGGAGGGACTTGTTTAGATTCGAAGGTGATCTTTATGTCAGCATCTAGACTGTTAAAATGTTGAACTTACCATTGTACACCTTCTTAAAGAAGGTGTGCCTATCGTCCACGTATCTGTACCCCTATAAGGGTGGGTAGGGGCACTGTTAATCGCTATCTAATCACTTGAATTGTTCAAGATGTTATAGATAAAGTACAATTGGGGCACTGGGGACCCCATCGCTGATCCATTAACTTGTTTGCAGAAAATTGCCATCGTAAACAAAGTCAAGTCAAGACACATCCAGTACATCCGGTTGGGATTTTAAGTTGTGCGTTGTGAGAGGGTGATTGACTGTAAGTCTGTCAAGCATAACTTTTTTTACCTTGTCAACTGAAACAGAAAACAACGTGCTCTGAAAACTAGATTCCTAAAACACCAACGTCCTAGCTCTCTTAACTCAGAGGTTTTATCAACATTTATCATATTGAATCTCCGGGACACTTAGTAACTTTTAATTCTAAGGGATCAAAATCTTTGATTCTGAACCGGATTTCTTTGCAAGAGGAGTATAATAGAAGCCGGTCTACATTAATGCGCACAGACGTAACATGCACAGAGGTTGAATTCCGTGAACTAGGTTGATGGAGTCAGCCAAAAATTTGGGAAAATCCTAATTCATTCTAGTGTTGGAAATAAAGTTTGGTCTTTCATTCACATTTAAGAAAGATTAACATCAACATAAACTTTTGAATCCAAAGTAAAAAAAAAAAAACATGAACACAATATCACCTTGCCACACAGTAATTTTTCCTTTATCATTATACTGAATCCATTACGTTAAGTTAAAAACATACTTATTAATTTGTTATTGATATTAATTGTATAAAATGCTATTTGGCATACCTTCATTCACCTGGCAGATAAACTTGTAAGTTGAGGAGCACGCTGCGTCGTTCCAGCCTGAACCATAGTAGTTCGCACAGTTTTCTCCCTCGTTACCGTTGGGTTCCCCCAGCTGCCAGCGGTCCCAGTCAGTAGTTATGTCGTGTTGAGTCCCGTCTTCCCACACCCACTCACCCTCATTGTTCTGGTCATTTAGGCCAAACCAGAAAAGTGAGATTTTATTCACGGCGTCCTTCAGCTCTCTCACGAAGTTGTCCACGTCTCTGTCCTTCGGCATGGCGAGGAGCCCGCCGTCCGCTGCACACACCTGTCTGGCCTGACTGTAGGATTTGTCTTGGTTGTACGCCTTGAAGCATGCACCCCCGAAGGCAGTGTAGCCAGAGGGACAACCTGTGGAAAACATAATACCCTTGATGATGCTAGTATGCATTACAAGGTTTTAAATATCATCTTAGAGTGCTCTGTTTCATCAGAAACATATTGATTCGCAGAAAAGTGATAATACTAGTAGAGTAGACAAAATGTTGATGAAAAATTCTTTCATAAACTTAACAAGAAGCCATAGTTGACAATTCTCCGTGAAGTATGATATATTGCAACAAAAAGAAGTAGCCATTGGCGACAATTCTCTGTGAAGTGTGATAAATCGAACAAAGAAAAACTGTTTAAACGCGCGTCGGCTCAGTCATCTTAAGACGCAACAACCAATCAGAGATGCGAAATGCCGACACGTGACGCGGGATTTGCATACAGTCTAAACAACGGGGAAGGGCGCGCGATGCCCGAAATATTTTTGCGTTAATATTCAGCGCCGTGTTTCAAGAGATTAATACCGGGAAACAATTTCTTTTCTTGTTTTGAACGCATAAACATGCATTTACGCTAATCTAGTATGATTCAGGGTTACTTTTTTTTTACCTGCCATGGCCAGATTATCTAAAGATGTGTGTATTGTGTGTACAATCTACAGAAAGAGAAATGTACATCAGGTCCTATCATCCGATTTTCACGTTTCGGTTTTTTGGACTCGGTTCATGAACGTATTTTGGTTTGGCTCCTGGAATGTGCGAAAAAAATGACTCCCGGGACTGTCTACAGGGAACACTCGCACATTCGCGGTGTATCAGGACAGCGCGACTGGTCGGCATTAGCGCAGTCCCTGTAATTAGTAACAGTTGCACATCAATCCGGCCGAAAGCATGATTGTGTAACACAGGCTACTTCTTCATATACCGGCTCATACTACACGACGCCTTTACAACTAGCAAATCATAAATTTCCCGATCTACTAGTACTGTATGTGCGGTTTACCAGCCCCAGACCACATCCGACCACGAGGCAGAACACATTGATGGGTTGCTTAAAAATATTGTCCATGTTTACAAAGAGCTGCTCCACCAACACTATGGAGCGGCCCAACCCAAAAATATTGGCCATGTGTCGTTGCTAGGACGACCGGCCAGTTGCTACGTGACTAAATACACGCCGCCACTAGGTCGCCACACCCGACCAGTTTGAAATCGATAGGATTACGTCATCGGTATTAACATTTCCTAATGTTGACCTCTGACCACCCCACATTTCCGCCCCATCAGCCCCGCCGCGACTTACTACCGGTGACATAAACGGACGACAACATTTCAACGACATGGGGATGTTTCGAAAATAACCATTTACTCCGATATCAAAACAGCTACGGTAAAAATAAAAAGACGTGCATCATCCCGGACATAATGCCACACCACATGCGAAATTACACAAAAATGCGACGTACGGAAGAATGCGTTTTGGCTGCGAACATCTTCCAAAAAACTTGGCATCTCTTAACCATGGGCAAAAACATCTGGAACCACTTATCAAAACCAGCCCGTATCTGCATGAAGTTCCACCCCCCCACTGCTATTCCAAACAACGCGTTTTTCTGGACCATTCCATTTCGCCTCGTAATTGTAGGGGTGCGTCTGCAATATTACATTGACCGCGAAAGCTGCAACGGCAAAAATACACATTCGTGCATCAACACGGGCATGCCCAAAGACGGCGTATAAAATTGCGTGCCGATTACACAAAGAGAACCCAGTGTTTTGACTGCGAACACGAAAAATCAGCCGATCACAACACTCCGTCCGGAGGTCCTGACCTCCTTCACGGAGTAACAAGAGTTCAGAGATCTCATACCTACATGAAATACAGGCTTGATATGTAAATATAAATTCCTTCTTTAATTACGCAAATGACCTCTGCATTAACATAATATATGCATCTTGATCTTAACTTTTCATTAACTTACAGATGTCCCAAGTATGACATTGCCATCATTCACCATTTAGAAATCATAGAATTTTTGCATTAATTATGCTAATTAGGTCATCGTTTGCAAAATTAGTATCTATCGATGTTCCATCTGCCATAGATTACATACATTACTTGAATGAAAGTACTATAATGTAAAACACTGTAATAATAGAATTTCCTCATTAATCATGCAAATAAAGTCCTCATTTGCATAATTTGCATTTTATTTTGTACATCTCTCTCTCAGCTACCTACACACCAAAAATAATGAAAATACGTTGTTCCTATCTGGACTTATTGGCTTTTAAAAATTTCACCCGAAGGTCCCCTGCAGTTCCAGAACAAGCTGCTAGGGGAACAAAACCCACACCACTTATTCCTGACAGGAAAATCTGTCTGTCACCAAATATTCAAGACCATAGCATGTTCAGGACAGATGCAAAAACTGGAAATTTTGCTGCAGTACTAAGGTCATTCACCAGGAGGCTCATATTTGACCTTGACCTTTGTCTTCCTAAGACTTACCAACGTACCAAATATCATCACAATCCATAAAGGCGTTATGAAGTTATGCTGACTACAATGTGCGGAAACACAAACACACACACACACACACAGGCAGACAGACACACAGACAGACACACACACAGAAAGACGCGCTAAAAACAATACCTCAATTTTACATGGAGGTAATTACCATAGAATATGTAAATTGATAAGATGAATTACTATAGCATATACTTAGCTAATGATTACCTGCTTCGATTTTAAGACGCCCCACTATACGATATTTTACTCACATGTCAGACCATCTTCCTGCAGTTCCCAGGAATCCCGGCAGGCGCACGTCCTTCCTCCCGGATGCGCAAGGCACAGCTCCTTACATCCTCCATTGGATGACGAACAGGCTGACGTACAGATACATAAGCAAGTTAAGATTCCGAGTATAAATTTGCACAAACTTGTGCTGAGGTAGCCATGTGACAAGTACCAGGTAACATCGAATGCAATGTGATAATGGTGTGGTTTTTTAAAGTGATAACAACTGGATTTTATACCCTAAATAATTTCATCAGTCACTGATCAAAGCAGGGCAGTTAAAGACAGCCTTTTCACTGTCAGTTCCTGAGCCGATTAAGAAATTATTTAAGAAAATCACTGAACTCCAGACTTTGTGTTTAGTTTTGTCTTAGGTATTGTTATTATATTTGAATTATAGAAGAGGAAACATGTGCCAGATTTTAATAGTTCAGAACATTACAGATCAATCTACCTCGAATCTGACGTTTCTTGAAAATGGAGTGTTGCTGTTGAACTCCAAGGGGACGAGGGGGAATCAACTACCCGAATATTCTTAGCGCTCAAATCCGATGCAAATGGGCAGGCGGGACAGTTAGTGCACACATATTAAAACAAGAATCCCGAGATCTCATACCTCCATAAAATATGTAGAGTTTATGTAATTTTTTTATGTAATTACCATGATCTAGTTAGATTGATTGTTTTTTAAACTTAAATTACAATATTTTGCTGGTGAGAGTCCTTCCTTTTGGCAACATTTCAGGTCAACATGTCCTCATTAGTTATGCAAATGACCTCTATATTAACATATTATATGCATAGTGATGTAAACCTTTCAATAACTTACACATGCCACAGGCATGAAATTCCAATCACACAGGAAGTAAGAAATCACATAATTTTTAAATTAATTATCTGAAGTCTTCTTTGCATCATTTGCATTTGATTGTGTACATCTCTTTAAGCTACCTACAAGCTACCTACATCAAAAATAATTATAAAAATACGTTTCTTTTCAGACTTATACACTTTCAAAGATTTCTCCAGAAACTCCCCTGCAGTTCCTGAACAAGCTGGTAGGGGGACAAAATCCACACCACTTATTCCTGACAGGAAAAGCTACCTGTCACCAAAAATCCAAGACCAAATCATTTTTAGGAAAAAAGACACAAAAATCGGACGTACTGCTGCAGTACCAAGGTCAGCCACCAGGAGGCCAATATTTAATCTTGACCTTTGGCTTTCTACCAACACACCAAATATCATCACAGTACATAAATGCGTTCTGAAGCTATGCTGACTACAAATGTGCGGAAACATTCGATCTTTGTCTTACGGTAACAGTATTACAGTTCCATATGTTGACACGTTCTAACATTTATTTATATTTATTAAGTGAATTCATTCTTCGTTGAAAATTGGCCATGTCATCAACAGATCTCATGTACTCATCTCCGACTAAATTAAATGCGGTCATACAATGTTTCAGTCATACGATCATGTCACGCTTTTTACAAAACATAAAAAAAAAACATTCAGATCCGTCAAGCCAAGACCCTGACAACTAAGGTCACTTCTTTACAAAAGATATCAAAGCAGAATATTTGGCTGCAGTACCCTAACAAGCTGCCGGGTATCTCCCAAAACCTGCTCATTGCGATTTCTTATTAACACATGTCCATACACCAAATACCAAGAGAATCCATCCTAGCCTTCTCGAGTTATTGTATTGACACAGAAACAGACACACGATCGCTAATGAAAACTTGGTAACTACCATTGGTTATGTTAGGAGGCAATGCCGTGGACAAGTAGATTTTGAGCGGTGTAATCGTGTTTTCAACCAGAACAGTCTGATCCATGCTGGACTTGGATAACCTGGAGTTGTGGTATAAAAGACCATGTCAGCAATTCGTTACAATACCGACCGATAATAAAGGAAAAAGGCAATACCTGTTCAAGTGCAATTACTTTACTTGCTTTCGACTTAAATTTGCCATTCTTCATAACACTCACTCACTCACTCACTGAACACTCACTCACTCACTCACTCACTCACTCACTCACTCACTCACTCACTCACTCACTCACTCACTCACTCACTCAGCTCCGCATGCCCCTCCTGGGGGCGTAGCGCCTCTGCATACGGCACTCCAGGTCTTCCGGTCTCTGGCTGCCACCCAGGCGGAGGTGATGTCATGTCCTGCAGCCTGTAGGTCGGCAGACAGCAGGTCCGTCCATGTACGCCTCGGTCTCCCTCTAGGGCGGGACCAGGTCGAAGGAGGCGGTTCTCTTACGAGGGAGCCT